GAAGACTGGTCTCTTAAACATACTTTAAATCTTATCGGGGGGAAAATACTGACTTCATTATCAAAGAGCCAGCCAATTGTAGAATTCTCCACTTTCTTGTGCTCTATGAATAAGGAGTATTCAAACTGTTGTTAAACATTACTCAAGTGAACTGATACAAGGAAATGATCACCTACTTTGCAACTTATTTACTTATAGCAATTTATGATTCCTGAATATTGCTTAATAATCCTGCTTGTCCTGACTGTTCTGTGGAAGCTTACCAAGGGTTACTGTGTTCATCAAAACAAAGCAGTTTTCTGTGGAAACTGACCAAGAATCACTATGTTCGGCAAAAATAAGAGACATGTCCTTGGAAAGCAGATGGGTTCTAGCAAGTTTAGTCTTTGTAATGGATGGATAGCCATATATCAGCGGTAGAAATTAATAGACTGGTGCTTTTAGATAAGATAGAGTTGGTAAACCATCGGGAACCACTCTTGTTATTCAAAGAAATGGGCTAAGAGAATCTATGCACGCTCCAAGGAAAAGTACAAGGTGAAGAATACTGTGACCCTTCCTCCAAAGACACTCAAAGATGACCACCAGGAGGCAATGTGCAGGTGCAAAGAGAACATAAACTGCTGACACCCAGCCTTTCAAATTAACCCAGCCTTACTTATGCATAGCTATATTTCTATTACGTAATCCACTGAATATGTATAAGTTTTTGGCAAGATGCGCTGTTGGTGTGCAAGCTTTGTGGAGAAATCCCCTTCCACCCCGGTGCTGGAGTAAACATACCTGCTTTATAACTCTGAGTTGTGGAGTGTGTTTCCACAAATCAGAACAGAAAAGATAGCCAAGAAAACAGGAGACTTCCAAGATGCGAATTTAGAAACCTACTTTCTAACTTGTCTGTTGTGTAAATAAACTGGACTGTGTGTTGTGCTCAGCTGAACAGGCTTGGACCTGATGCAAAGCGCCTGCGAGAAATCCCAGTTTAAGGGATTCCTAAGGACTTCTATGTTCTCTCATGGGTTTTGCTTTGGCTATAGCAAACAGTCCCCTCTACCAGAAGCCACATGTCCTTCACTGTCAGCATCAGGAAATTTACTGGTGCGCCACAGCCTTCTGGCCTACCACCTGCACTTCCAGTCCTAAGTGCCTGTGTGGGCTGTATGGGCCTGGTGCTCATCCCAGGCTGGAGTCAGCCAGGATCCCAGGGGGGCAGCCCTTCAAAAAGAGATACACTCTTGGTCTTTCACATCAAACAAGTTTAGTCCTCTGTTTCTCCCACACCAGTATGTGCTACATAGTGGAGATAAGGTGTCCCTAGGCCACTAGCTCAGTAGGATCTTAGGGGAGCATGGTACACCTCTAAATTTGTGGCTGCATTGTAGATACCATTAGGACCAGTTTGAGACACATTCCTTTTCTGGCAGAACCTATATAGCAAGACATGGATTGCATGTGACAGCATTCTACCAGTTTGTTCTCTATCAGCTCTTGCTCTAGATGTTCTCAAAAAGGCTCCTAAAGGATGTTGTTCATTTGTGATTTTAGATAGTCTAGAAGATTTGTAATGGTATTTATGTACTTACATTTTCTAATAGCGCTTGGGGTGTAGTAGCAATGTGTGTACTTATCTGAATTTTTATCCTTATCCTTATCCTACATGACTGCTGGAACATTTAAGAAGGCGTCAGAATTACAGTGCTAATAAGTCTACTTTAGAGTTTAGTCAGTATAGAATATACAGTTGTCTGTCTTATTTGCTCATACTTTTAAACCGCACGTATTGTGGTAAGAACTTCTAAGCAACAAATGCAATAAAATAACATTTTCCCCTTTTATATATATAGATATTTCTATCACAAAATACAGACAGCTTTAGCCATTGATAAAACATCAGAGTACTAGGACCAGCATTACCTTCTGAGTTTACTTTCAAAAATGTCTTTGAGACAAACTCTGTTATTTACTAGGGGTTTTTATAGCCTTTGTAAAAAATATCTTAGTAATGTTTGACCATTTTTTCATCTTGCTTGGAAAATCTTAATTTCATGACATCAATTGTGAAAGTCACAAAGCAAGAGTATGTGTGACCTGACAAGTGAGCCCAGTTCTCCTGAGGTAGTCTGGTTGGGAGAATTCCTCCCATCTTTCTTGGTAATGCAGCAAGGCCATGACAAGAGTAAAGGATTTAAGTGTCACTAAGATTTAAAAAAAAGTTAAATATTAATTAGATGATTATTTATTATATATTGCGATTATATATGATATTTGGGTCAAGCTATGTCAAACCTGCTATTAAGGAGCCTGGAGAAATCATCCTCACCCTTAGAGATGTTTGGTTAAAGAGTGGGGTCAAAATGGCCAAAACCTGGCAGTTCCAAGCTGCTGCTCTCAGTGGGCTGCTGTGGAAGAAGAGACTGAGATGGATGTGGAAGATAGTCCACAAAGACCCCAAAATGTCCATGAGGTGAAGGGGAGATGGACATATTGTGGTTACAACCAGAGAACTAGCACCATGAGTTTGAGGGCAGGGCCCATCTCTACTTCTTTGAGCAAATAAGCACTGCTGGATCTAGGCTGGCTTCATAGTCCTCTGCATTTACAGCCAGTGAGGTGTGAATTTATTTGCTTTTATTTGAAAGACAGTCTAGAAACTGTACTTTTAAAGGATATAATATAGCTCAAAATAAAAAAATTTCTTTGATGTGCCCAAACAAGATAAACAATTTTTGATCCACATTGTACTGGCTAAATCATTAGTGAAATGACATTGTACTGACACAGTTTAATCCTTACTTTTTCTTTAAAAGACACTGTTAATTTTCTGCAAGTTGCACTATAAATTGTGTTTAAAGGGTTTACTTTTCATCATATAAGTTAGTTTTAAAATTGATCAGTTAATCAAAATGCTAAGGGGCTCAATTAAGTAGATTCAACACAGAGGCTACTGTAAGTGATTCACATGGGTACTCTGGAACACATGCAGAGCATTCAAGATTCACCAAACTTGTTTAAGCAGCTGACTTAGTAAAAAATAAAACTGATGAGTTTTGCTCTTTGCTTTCTCGAGACTAGTTTCAACTAGGATTAAATCACTGGAAATGGAAATTTTCCAGCTCCTTTCAAAGTTCATTTAGCTGGACCTGAAACCACCATCAGGAAAAACATAGACACTCTTGATTATATAAAAGCTAGCAGATGAATTGTGCTCCCCCTGATGCTTTTCATCCCCCCCCAGGCATTTAAAATATCTTGAAAGGGTGCTCTACCTTCTGGAAAACTGAGAAAACATTCTGTTGAGATTTAATTTGTCTCATATTATATTTCCTGTTCAGCATTTGTCTTCCATTGATTTTTTTATCACTAGGGATATTTGCATGACAATGGGATCTTTCTTGCTTAAGAGATCATCTGCTCCTTCTGCTAATTTCCTACCTGAAGTTGTAATCTTCTGTTTGTGACATCTTAATTGTCTCAACCACAATTAATTGTGATGCCACAAATTGAGGATTATGACTTTAGGTTGGAAATGAGATTGAGAAATTGAAGGAGTTTGAAGAGGCAAAGAGGCCTTTCTTCTTGAAAAATAAAAGTGGAGACAAAATAATTTTGGTTAAACAGGAGGCAGTCCTCCACCAGCTTCCTTTTTACAGCCCTGGAACAGGTATTTCTAATTCTTGGTGTCACAGGAGGCCCTATTGTATTGAGACATTTAGGAGGAGGAAAAGGGCATTGTGGAGGAAGGGGAATCTTCCCTTGGACAGTCCCCCCCTGCAGCAAGAGGCAAATAGAAGTCAGTGAACCCCAGAGAGATCCAGGCTTTGCTCACAGAGAGCAGAATGCAGGGCTGGTATGGCTGCAGTTGGTGTAAAGGCCAATCCATTTATTGTACTTCATATCTTGCAATATTCATTTGAGTTTATACATCTGATTTTGAAGAACAAATTTCCAGAAGAGCATTTTTTGAGGGGTGGGGGGAATTCCAAAGACTTAAGGAAAAATTACATTCAGCATCCTGAAAACATACGAAGTGAAAGCTTTGTGCTCCCTAGTCCACCATGGCTTTTATTTATTCTATGGACTTGTCATATGTCACTTATTGCTATGTTGCCTTCTGCTTTTTTTTTTTTTTTTAATTGAAATGTGTTGCTTCCACACAGATTCTGGGTGGCCTGGTGACCTGCTCATGTTTTTGTGAGGACATTGCTAAGGCTGTTTATATACTCACACCATGATTTACGAAGTGGGAATATTCATCTACAGCTACTATCCTTCACACCAGAGTGTTTACATAGATTGTGCATAAACAGTGGGACCAAATCATGACTGAGAGAGGAAAAACCCCAAAGTTAATGAAAATCGAAGTGTCTTATTTTAATACCTTTACTGACATTAGGGAAAAGGTAAAGACTGCAAAGTAGAGGGATGAAAGTGGAGAACAAAACAAAGATTAGCCCTGTGGTTTTAGGAAAGTATTGTGTCCTTTAGAAAAATGTGCACCCATCCTCAGGTGTAAATGGAAGTGACGCTCAGTGGAAATAGGCCACTCTGCACTTGCTGGGATCCAGGTTGATCCATATCTGCGTATCAGATCTATTTTAACAGTTGGATGTGTACCAGCTACTGAACCATAGCAGAACGGGCCGTTTCCTGACATCTTTTGGAAAGCATTGATAAAAAAGGCATTTGACCATCTCATTAACACAAAAACTGGTAGGGAAATCAGCTGTTAAGATTTTGCACTCAGACACATTGCTCTAAGTCTACAAAAGCTCTGCAGGCAACAACAAACCCACTGTGATAATCTGACAACAGAACCTGGACCCTCAACATTTGCGGCACCAAGTTAACCTTGTAGGCAAGTTGGTTTGAAGTTAAACTAGGATATCTTCAAGGAAGCATAATAATACAAAGGGGAAATAGAATGGGGGGAAAAAGCACCATATACTGAGAAATGGTTGTGTCTGCCAACACCTCTTTTTTTTTTTTTTTTTTTTTCAAAGGCAAAAGCAGTTATGGCAAAAGTGGGTTACCCTCAGTTTATAATGAATGACACATATATTAATGAAGACATCAAAACAGTAAGTGTCAGACTTGCAGCTTCCTTCTTTTACATATTGCAGCCATTCTTTACTCTGTTTCACTGCTGTCTAAAATCAGAGCTCCTCTTTTTTTTTTTTTTTTTTTTTTTTGTCCAGTTATTTTTAGACATTGAATTAAGTACGCTAGCTCTCATGTCTAAATTGTCAGTGCCAGTGTGCCTAAAGAAGATGACCATGAGGCCTGCTGGGAGTACAATGTGCCTAGGTGCAAAGAACCTTCCTGCTATTAAGCATTTTAAAGGTGAAGCATTTGGTTATAAAAATGAAACTAACCAAAAGCATTTCTCCTCAAAGTAATGGTCTTCAGAAATACTAGTGCACTTACCCTCAGAATATGACAACTTATGATGCCCTATATAGGCTCTCATCACCTCTCCAGGCTATGAATTTTATTTATGATTGTTGCTTATAATCATGCCTAGAGGTGCTAACCAGTGTATAGGCCTACTGTGCTGGCTGCTGGGCAAGGATACTGTGGGGGGACTTCTTCCTGACCCAGCATCTGCTCAGCCTAACTAAGCAGGAAGGCAGATGATGAAGAATAATATATTTTCCAAAGGGGTAACGGTGGCATGCATGTGATGAATTGCATTACTGAAAGTCACAGGCAAAGTAGAATCACAAATTCAATCATGAACCAGTAAAATACAACAATGATAGTCATCTTTACCAGAGAACATGAACAAACACTAAACAGAGGCATAATTTATTGAGAAAACTTTGAAGAACCAACTCTACCGGCCTAGTCCTTGTTCCTGGAAGACGTAGGGTGAGATGGTCCCGTGAAGACAGTGTAAGGAGACAGAAGGTGTGACCAACTTGATTACTCAGTTTATGGAATTATTTGCCCAGATAAGTGCTAAATCTAGCAAAAAGCACTTGTCAATCATGGTTGCAAAACCATAGTTTACTTCTGACATGCAACTTCTTCACAAGGCCTAGGATTGCTTGAAACTGGTGGCAGGGATATTATCATCTGGATTTATAAACTATTAACATCCCTTTTTTATGGATGGTTAGTTGTGTGTGTGTTTGGAGGGGATTGTTATTAGATTTGTAGTCTTATGGAAGCATGGAGCCCTATGTCTGTAAATATTTAATGCCAGAAAACAGTAAGAAAATGCTGGCAGAACCCTCCAAAGTTGGAGGATGAAGTATTTGTAATAAAATGCAAAAGAAACTGAAAAGGGGAGCTTTGCTACATTTTTGAAAGTGGTTTTAAAATGCACTTTAAAAAATAAAAATAGACCTATTTCCTTCTGGGAAAAGGTCTGTCTTAATAACAGTCATAGAAATGTGCAGTCTGTAATTCACCATTGGGTACTTCTGATTTCCTCAGCTCCTCTCTGCACAGGGAAGAGCTTTTCCAAAGCTCTGGTCCCTCATGTAGATCCATCCAGCCACTGGTTTTTAACTAAGCTCACAAAATATTTATTCTTCCTACCAAATGTAAAAATTTTACTTTGTTTGATAATGGCAAAAAAATTAGGTGATTATCTTGTATAGCATAAAAGTTCTGATTGTTTTATGTCAGCTTCTGTTTCCTTGGACATGCTTTAAAAATGTCTGTCCTTTATCTATGCAGCTGAAGTTTACAGAAAGTGACTATTTTGGCAATGTGTTGCAAACTCGCAAATACGCAGCCCAATCTGATTTCTACTGGCTTAGAAAAGAAGTTCCAAAAACAGAGTGAGTAGACAAAAGGCAAATTTACATAATCTGCTATTTTAATTTATATGATTTAATTTATATAATTCATGTTTTAATAGAATTATATACACAGCTACATATTATGATGCAAAAAGCCTATGGGTAAACTCTCCCACTTATTCAGAAACTCCTGTGGATATTTTTATTTTGGTAAATTCTAGGTATCCCTGTTCTGATGAACAATAGTTATATGCTTGCAGCTTAAACTTAATTTAGTGAAAAAAAAGGGTAATTGAATCTCAGTTAAAAATGGATTATGTCTCTTGGTCACAGTTAGAATTTGGAACAGTACGGCAGGGATTTATAAAATAAATTTTCTAAGAATTGAACCATTAGCAAGAGATAATGTTATTATTAGTAAGAGCAATCAGCATTGTTAGTTACCTGCTGTTGATAGCAATGATATGGAATAAAACATAATTTAATTTACATCTGTTATTTTTATTTATTTGTAAACATGAGAGTGAAGATTGTGTCACATACTGTCATAAAATACATGAGAGAATCAGTCTCTTTTCTTACTGGTGGGTAATCAAATCCTTAAAATGCAAATTAAAACCTAAACAGAACTTAATTAGTCTAATCATGCTACTTAAAAATTACTCTTTCTACACAGAGACTTCGAAATTGGTGCGGCAGCTTAGCTCTTGTGGTGGTATTTCCTTAGAGCCCCAGAAATTCCTACTCAAACTGAACCATCCCTTGTTTTGGGGATGGCTCTGTGTTGTCTGTGAGGCAGGTAGAGGGTGTCAGCAGGACAGGCACAGGCTATTCTGAGTTAAAGTGTTGTAATTTGGCACCGTATTTTTGAGGAGTGTTTATAGCTTGATTTTAATTGCAGAGTTTACCTTCTCATCACACCTTTCTCTGACATTGCAATGGTTAATCCTAGGGTATGATTTTACAGGCTTTCCTGCAGCCCTGGATGCCAGGGCTAGATCATAACACACTGCGTTCTTTTCAGACCAACAGTTTCCATGAGAGCAGTGAAACACTTGCCTCTCTATAGCAAAAGTGATCAGCAACCTCCCACTCATGAACTGCATTAGGGCAGCACTAACTCAGACCACGTAGATTCTTGGCACGGCGGGAAATCTCTCCTGTAAAGAAATTAACTGGCAGGTGATCTCTGACTATACACCTCAAGGGCTGTTATCTGAGAACTGTCTCATGAATGTACTTTATAAATAAAGGTTTTAACCAATTACCCACTACAAGATTGAACACATTCTCCTGTTTGGCTTTACGATTTTATTTCAAGGGCTACTTAACAGCATCCCCCTCATCGCTTTTGTCTTGCTGCTCTTGTCATTCATAGGGGCACATTCTGGCCTGGGAGATCCCAGTCTGATTTTTGATCTATTTCCTTTGTCAGCACAGCTATATGCTCTGCCTACTGCTGGGGGTAATCCCCACCTGAGACCTCAGTCATTATTATTCCTGCTGGGAGATTATTCTGCTTTTGCACCAGCTCAGTGATGGAAAAGAGCTCTGAAAGTGCTGTCACACTGTCTACTTTTGCTGTCTGCTGAGGGGTACCAAGGCACACAGAGTCATTGCCACGTCAAATAATTTTTAAAACATGTATTATAACAAACCAATAACTCCCACCCACCAGTCTGAGGCACATCAAATCTGGCCTGAAAAATATCAGCACTTGCCACATTTTAACTATTGGACTCTACTGGTTTGTGATGCTTTCAATTCTCTTTTTTCTTTCTTTCTTTTATTTTTCTGGGTTTGTTTGGGTTTTTTGGGTTTTTTTTTTAAGCTTTTATATTTCATAGAACTCTACAGATCTTTGGTCTACACTGAAGCTTGGCACTGTGTTAATAGAGAATTACCCTTGGGGTTTTGTTTCTGTTTGCTTCATTTCTTCTTTCCCCTAGTTCAGTACATTTTAGCACACTATTTCTATTTAGAGGTAGATACTATGATCCAAGTTGTGGACTGAGAAAGATCAATAATAAAACAAGTGCTTAAAGAAATATGTTACCAGCTAGTAAAGTAATATTACCTGCAAAAGGTAAACCACTATATTCATTTAGCAGACAGTACAGATTTCTCAGCAATATTATTTCAAACTGGACTCACTTTCCTCAGCATAGTCAACTAAATGGAAAATCAAAATGATGGTTCACTCAAAGCACCAGGGGAACTCCATCAGGGGACAGACAGAGGAGCTGGGAGATACAAGACAAAAGAGTTTGATAAAGCAAGGGGAAGTGTGGATATCAGAGCAGAAATAAGTTATCCTGGAAATTCAATGGTTTTGTAATCAAAAAAGAGGAAAAAAAATCCCCCAAAGGAGGAGTAATTATCAAAATTCTTTGTCCTCTGTTCTGCTTCCTCCCTCCCTAGCAGCTATCTGCCTTAGAGGAAAAAGGAGCATGTAGGAAGTCAGGCAAGGCAATGCTCAGGGCATGGATGGGGGGATGTACCTGCCCTGACTGGTACCAAGAAGCTGTGACATGGCATCTGGGCACCAGAGCTGCCTGCTCTGCCAGTCCCTGGGACCAGGCTCCCCTGCGGGCACCGCAGCTGTGGGAGGCGCAACTTGCTGTCCTCAACACCCTTTTCAGACGCTAGCTGCACTCCTAACAGCTGGCTGCAGAGATGGCTGTCGCCTTCACAACTGGCTCTATCAAAGCAGAGAAAAAGTGCTCAGGTATAAAGAGAGAGATGTAGGAAAGAGATTTGTGGCAGGAGCTGAGGAACATGATGCACAAAGCAGCACAGGCTGGATCAAGAGGACTGGATGGAGGAGGTGAGGCTGGAAGGGGTGAGTGTTGGAGGAAAGGGACCAGGCGTGAAGGCAATTATAATAACCCAGGTGAGACACAACTAGAGCAGAGAGAAGTGAAAGGAATGCATGGGCAAATGATGGCCATGTGGAAAGGAGAGATAAAAGAGAATCAGGGGTTTAAGGGTGTTTGTTTATCTATCCATGGAGTCATAAACCTTCATACACACAAATATACATACATGTGTATGTGTATATAAACACATACCCACATCTTTTGAACAGTGATTAAATCCATCCTTCTTAACACCAATAACTTGCAAATAGCAAAGCATCGGAGGACTTCTTGGGCATACCACTTCATTATTATTAATCTTTTTCCTTTGAAGTCAGGATATCCCCTCTACGTATTTTAGACCTGGCCAAATCTTTCTTCACTTCACAACTTTCAGTGCTGGAGATGTAGGCATCTAGTAACCCTGTAAGAAGACACAGAGGAAGTGTACTATGAGAAGATTCCTGGGTCTCCTCCAGGACCTATTTCAGTTTCTTGACCACACACTATTGCTTGTAAGCCCTGGCTCTTGGTTTGCTGCAAGGGATGGCTGCTCTAAGAGGTGCTGGGTTGGTTGCCCTTAAGGACAGTGTAAAAACTCTTTCTGCCAAAAGGGAAAAGCAGGCATAAAAACACTGGGCAGGTTGTTGCCCGTTGATGAGATGCTGCTGGAGAGCCCCAGGAGATGGCAGCCTGGTCTGGGAGGCTAATCCTCTGTTTCTACATGGGAAAATGTATAAAACAGACTAACAATGAGAAGAGGAAATACATTTCTGAAAGTCACCTTGAAGATTGTCTCCACTTTAGAAGTTTTTCTTTATAGTCTTTTCTTGGGGAGAAATTTTCCAGATTCAAGCTTCTCTAGCAACTTTGTACAACCTTTCACTTTTAACCAGCTTAAGTGCATTACACATTCAAAAGTTAATTTTCTTTACTTATATGATTTTTTATTAAAAAAAATCTTATTTGGACATTGAACACCAATTTCTGCTTCACCTGAGTTATTTCTTCTAACTCAGAAAGTAGAGAGAACAAATTGGAAATTCAGTTTGTGCTTTACAGAGAATCAAATAAATTGATAAGCTTTTTCCTGTATTGTTAATGTTCCTGGTCACCCCTCTTAATGACTAGCAATGTAGCACACTATACTCCTAACTCAAGAAGGAAGTTATTGCAGAGAAAACAGTAGCCTAAAGAAACACAAACCTAAGAGACTATCTATCCCACCTACAGGCAGAGGTGGAAGTCACAACTATATGTCTTTGTTCAAAATTACAGTAAAATCTGAATTAAAGTGTTGAATGTTTCAGATGGGTCCCTTTCAGATGTGTTCTCTCCCTGTCAAAAAAGTGAGAGAGTCCTCCAGAGCGACTGCTAAGCCTGAAAAACATGTCTCACCATGCAAATGATTTGCTTTCATCCTTCAAAATAGCTGATTGCTGCTGTGAACAAACATGAAATTGAAATGTAGTTAATTAAGCCCCTTATTTTTTTCTTTATCCTCTCACGATAAGCATTCTTTCTTCAATTTTCCATTATCTCACTACATTACCTCTAACATTTAATCTCTTTATTATAGAGGAAACAGAAAACACACCAGAAAACAACCTCCCACTGCTCCTCCCCTTCAGAATCTCCTAGTAAACAAAACAGGGAGAGTTATCTGTGGCAATTAGAGCCTATAATGAGATGGATGGTTAAGATATTTACATGACATCACCCTTTGCTTTCATTAGTTAGTTTTTCTAGTTGCTGCATTGTAAAATAAGCTGCTCAGCTTTGAAGAGAGAAGCAGATAAATTTATTAATAAAAGACAGAATGCTGCCATTCTAAAACTCTTCCCTTTGTTGCATGGCTTACATGAAGACATCAGTTACCATAAAAACAGTCAGGATCTGCAGATAACTCATTCATTTGATGGCGCTATTATAAAGTGCAAATTGTGTACGTAAATGTCACTGACATCCCATATTTTCCATGTTCTGATAGATTTTCCTTTTCCTTACTCTTTGTTTTGCAGGTCCCACCTCTTCTCTTTGAAATAAACTTTCCAAAGCATTGCATCCATTTGGCTTTACAAAACTTCTGAGTAATGCATTGCTAAAGACATTGGGATGTTCCTGTTTGGACATTTACTAGAGCTGCTTCTAATTTATTATGAATTAACCACTAATGCGCATAATCTTTTCCTTTTCTTTTATCTCAGTTCTTCCTTATAAAATCATAAAGTGAAATCTTGGACTCGCTGATATCAGAGTTTCATCTGAGGGAATTTGGATCTTGCTGAAGCCGGTTGAGATTTTCCACTCATATGGGTGAAACCACTGTCAATATAGATGACCTTAGGCTAAAGATACTTGTAAATCCTATTTGCTGTTCAAATCTATGTTTCCCTCTCGTATGTATGAGAAACCTAACTATGAGAAGAAATGCTAATATTCTTTTTGAAACTTGTTTTACCTTGAAAGATGTCTATTTGCTTATAAGCACAACGATGGCCATGTTCATTGTATAGGGTAAAGAACGTGAAGCTGTTTATTTTGAATTTCCCAGAAATCATCCGCCCCTGTTGCTGGCATCATCCTAATTGTTCAAGTAGTTGTTCAGCAAAGCATCTGAAACCACTTCACTCGTTTCAAAATGCTCTCCTCTAATTTCAAGAGGGAGTTTCTCCACACATGTTGAAAGACACTTAAGAGATTTCATATCTTCTATCAGTGTTACAGCCTCTGTGAACTTCAGTTCTTCAGCATGACAGACCTCACAAGCAAAACGGTAGCTTAGAAATAAAACAGATTAGGTAATAGGAAGTTTAATAATTGCTCCTGTTGAACATTCATTGATTGTGTGCACTTAAAATAGAGCCATTAAACAATAGATTTCAGTGTCCTAGAAAGTGTAGGTAGCATGTGCTGAAATGGAGAAATACTGAAACTTTAATGTATCCTAGGTATTTGACATTTTTGCTTCCTTCCACTGAGTTCACTTTCTATCTTTGCTTTTTCTATTCATGAAGTTGTGTAAGTGTACTGATATGATTTCTTTTGCTCTTACTACAGGTGGTTTACAAGCCCAACTACTGTAAATGCTTTTTATAGTGCATCTACGAACCAGATCAGTGAGTATCTGACTTCTGAGCCTCCTTTTAAAGTGCCTGTTTGGGAAATGTATGTATCAAGCTTCAGATAATATCTGTAGGGTTTGTGTGTTTGTGACTGAAAATCAGAAGCTCAAATCTGGTAATTCAGCTGTGAGACATCTTAAGTGAGAGGATAGTTCTGGAAAACCAAGGGCTCCTGCAAATTTGAATTACTGTTGCTTAATGAGTTACCCCATGTCATCTGAGTTGCAGTGACCACATGTTTGTACTCCGTCCATTGCAAATGTTAGCTTAAATCACTTTTATTAAATATTTATGTTTTTCTTCTGTTTTCTGTAGCAAAAACCTGTATACACATACCTTCATTAATATATACTATTTAAGTAATAACAACTCAGTCCTCTAGTATTAATAAATGCGTGGCAATAAATGTAACTAGAGGAGACTGTGATATAGACCAGAAAACCTAATAAGTGGTGTCCAGACTATTTATTCAATACCTTCAAGGACAAGGAGTGGTATCTGTAGTTAAGTTAAAATTCTTACCTGTGTAGTTTCATGAAATTATCTTCTATGTACAGGACAACCTGTTTTATGCTAACTTTAGTTACTGGTTATTTTTAGAGAGCATAAATCCTGGTTTGGAAGCATATGAGGTGAAAGAGCTGAGTTTTTCAAAGATGTCTATGGATTTGGATGTTCATTCCCATTTGCTTTAATGGGACTTTGCATGCCAAATTTCTAACCGGCTTTAAAAGTCTATAATGGTATTTCTGTGTACAACAGTGTTATCTTTACCCTGACACTTCTCTTTGCTCTTATTAGCTTTGCAAGTTAAATCAGTCTTCTTCTGTGCCATCAGGGTCTGGAAGGCAGCTGCCATAACCTCTGTGGTCTCAGTCCCCAAGGACAGGCATGTCAAAAATCACTGGTTGACTCCCACTTTTTCTCCTGAATCTCTTTTGGTCACAGCAAGTAGTTTTTGAAAGGCACAAAATGAATGTATCACCTGAAGAGGTTACAGCAGAGGACTGACAATCTGGGTCTGCTGGTATCTGCTCCTATTAATTTCTCTAAACATTTTTTGCCTTCAAACACACACTTAAATTCTTTTGTGTTTAGGTGAGCTCATTTGTAAAGTGTGTGTGATAATTAGGCATTTTTTTTGCTTATAATTAGTTTTAGGCCTAGACAACTCTATCTTAATTAGAGGGCTGCCACCATTAAGCAGACACTTTTTTGTCGATCATCTGAGGGAGCACTTGAGACAGACTTCTCTGGGCTGATCAGAGCTCTGGAATACCTGCGAAGCATGGCAGCTGTTATTCCTGCTGAACTAAGCACTGTCCACCACTGCTGGTGCAGAGGTATTGTGTGGATGGAGAGGAAGTCCGGCTGGCACAAAATGAGAACCATCTCTGTTATGTCTTCTTTCTCATTGGGTCGTTTCAAGCTTCAGCAGCATTCAGTGCTCAGCCTCTCTTCCATCATACCTTAAAGAAAGCTGTAATGAGAGACTGGAGTCATTGAAGCTAAATTTCACACTCACTGTGTCTAAAGGTGTCAAGAAGCAGAGAGGTGTCAAACGTAAGCAATCAGTCACGAACATAGAGGCAATTGTATTTTCTGTCATAACTACTGACCTTGTTGTACTGCTGGCATCTGAACTTGAAGTTTGGGTAGTGCTGTTCACTGTCTTTTTAGGACTGTTCCTAAGAGGAAAAGGATTTAGGTGGCTCTTTCTGAACAAACCCCTCTCTTACCTGAGAGGGAGGTACAAATGTAATCATGTCTAAAAATGATGTGCAGTAGGAGGGAAGGTTCAAAGAAAGGCACAGTACAGTCTTCCACTTCTGGCTGGTGTGATTTGCAGGGGGAGAGGGCCCATGAGATGTGGGAGGAACATGCTCAAGTCTGAAGTTGCTGATAAATATTTGACACATCACTACTGAGTTCCCAGTAATGCCAATGGGAAAGCACTGCACTATGGGACACTGAAGATTGTGAACCTATGCATACTCACATTGCATGATGTATCATCTGGGCAAATTTCCACACCCAGAAGTTAGAGCTTTGCAGCTATGTTTTCACTAGTAATCCATTCAAAGCTCTGTAGGGGCTGGTGATATGCTACAAAAACTGTGATCTTTTTAAAGGCTTAGCTAAACAACAGAAAAAAAAGATCTACAAATGAGAGTTGTTCAAGAATAAGAAATAAGCATGAACTCTAGCAAATTAAATATAAAGTTCTGATATATCAAGCCCACAAAGATTTTGAGGATCATCTTTCTAAGAACATAAGAACTAATGATAAAACTTTTTTTTTTTTTTTTTTAAATACACGGAAAGAAGAGAGTCTCTAAGACATAAAAATTAGATAATACTTTGCATTGGAAGAGTTTGGGAAGTTCTTAGCCTGGGACTTTTTCTTATGGGAGGTAAGTCCCAGGAAGTGTTTCAAATTTAGTGTCAATAGAAGGTACTTTGGAAGAAATTCATAGAATAAACTGTAACAAATATAAGGGCCAGATAATATTCTCCCAGGTATTTCAAAGAAACTTAGACAAGAAATTGCCAAACAACCAACTTTGATGTATAGCTTATCACTTATAGTAGGTGTGTCAACTGTCAAATCTTTTTTTTTTTCTATTGCATTTAATGTGATGAAATAATTTGGTATGAGGTGAATCCCCTTACATTCTAGACGGTCCTCGGAGATATGGGGGACTAGGGGCAGCTGGAATTATCTCTTAGTAGGTATGCCAGTTAGGGCTGTAACTATAGGTCTGACCCAGCTGCACGAATGGCCCATATGCCGTAGGTCCAGTTGCATTCAAGAGAAGTAGTCAGATTCACAAATTGTATGGTCTATCTTTATGCAGCATCTACAGATTCTTTAAGATTGCCTGCGATAAATGTACAGACTGCATTGCAGGGTGGCTATATAGCACTACACAAAAGAAAAATGATTGCAATCACACACACTTAGTTCCCAGGTAAACACTTGGCGTAGCCGAGGGAAATGTTACCAAAAGGCAACTCTTCTGGGGGCATGGAGAGAGCACAAACCCGTCAATCTGTCCCTCCAATTTGGTGTTGGATTATCATCTCTCCAATGTGGGTACTAACTCAGGGTATTATTTATCTTGTGTGAGTGGGTGGGACTGTAGTCAAGCCATTACCTTTTGAGTAACGACACGGTACATTCCTTGGTGCGAGGGGAACAGCTGGTTTTTGTGGGAAAAAGAGGGAGGATGAGAAACAAGGCTGGCTGGCTACTGTAAAATCATCCCTTGGAAGAAAGAGGTAGAGCAGGAGATAAATCTGTCCTTGAGAAAAGAGAAAGAATAGGACCACGCAGCCTACACCTCACTTCACATTCCTCCTGGCACTATGGCAGACACAAATCACTGGACCTCCATCCTGTCCTGTGTTTATTCTGTGCACCCTGTATCAAGGAAATATGTGTTTTATAGATTTCTCATTGTTTAGCTTTTCTCACGCTTCCAACACCTAACATTTTCAAAACAGAATCCAGAGGGATCTGCATAAAAAGTCATTCTAACCCCTATATGTAGAAAACAATATGAATGAATAAGAGAGAGTGAATATGATATAACGGGGAAGAGTCGATATGACTTTTTTGTTGTTTTTTCTTTTAGAAAAAAATTCATGCTTTCTTAGTCTATTAGAGTTTTCTGAAATTCAGAAAGCAAGTAAGTACGCTTGATATGCTATGTTTGTTTCCATAGAACACTTCTGATGAGATTCTTTCCCAGTGCTATTAACTGGAAGTTGTCACGGGACAAGAAAGAAGGTCCTTTCATAAATTAATGGCTGATTAGAGATAAGAAGAGTCAGTAGGAACAAATTACTTGCTTTCGGAATACTTACAGGGTATGTTAGGAGAATCTGTACTGGTCACTATTTTAGCAGATGATCTGGAAAAGAGGGTGTTCTATTCTGTACGAAAGAACAGACAAATGCAGCCCAGGAGGCCAGGTCCCTCTGCTAGTGATTGCTAGAAGGTAGAACAATACACATCTACTACTGATTACTGCTGGAAATAAGAGAATGAACCAGATAGGCTCTTTCATTTGCTTGAGCGCCCCTGCTCTTCAGTGAGCAAACTGGATTTTAGTGTGTTCAAGGCTCATCTATTTTTGCTCTTGGTAAATGAGTTTACTAAGAAGGAGAATTTGAGAAATGAGAATTTTAAAATGCATAATAGAGATTGTTTCTGGAAAGCAGCTTCTACATTAACTGGGAAATACTTGGTGCCAAAGTTGATTCTGAAAATTAAGGTCATACAGATTGGAAATGGAAATGTACTGTGTGATGTTATCAACATAACCACAGCAACCCCAAACTTGATTAGTCACTAAAAGCTTAGTGAAAGAAATTAGAGTAAAAGCAACATCAGTGCCTTGAACCATGGATTCTGAAAAGGAGCTATCATCAAATACCTGCAGAAGTGGAGGAGAAAATGGAGGTCCTGTTCTTTTCTGAACTTTAAGAAGATGCTTTTTCTTTCTGTGCTCAGAGCACAGGAAGGTCTCTGACACACTCCTGTTGGAAGGATTGCAAATTCTTATGTCTCTGTAGTCTGTAACACTGATGTAAGCATTACACAAGAAATCACTGCAATCTCCATACAAGTCCATGCAATCTTCGTACATGGGTAAGCTGTTAGTGTTTTTAACTTGACTACTCAGTTACTTGAAAGAAATGGTCTTTCTTCACTAAAAGTGAAAATTAATAGAGAGTAGAAACTAGATTTAGAAAATTATTAGATTTGGAAGAATACAGCAAAACTTGCATATGCAGTAGATGGTAACAAAATTTACTATACTTTAGTGCAAACATCCTTATGTTTTCTGTTGCTTCATTTCATTTGCGTTACCAAACTATTGATAACTTGAATGGCCAACAATTCTCTTAATATCTCCAGTGGAGGAATATGGTAGATGTATCAAGGTAAGATGTGCTGCAAAAAACAGTGTTAAAAATGTGATACA